AGATACATCGAGCAATCATGTACACAGTATGTGTGTCCTGGAGTGTGAATATACGAGTGGCTGATACTTATCCTGAACTCTTCTTATAACAGCTTGATGCAGTATAGTCAGCATGGGGGATTGTACTGGTGTGTTCCCAAAGCAGCCAAAAGGATGTTAGGATGACACTTGGCAGAATGAACACCAGTTTGAGGCCCTGCTCTTTCCAAATATGCGCTCTCTGTGCCCACATCTATGAGGTCTAATGTCTTTGCATATCCCCCCCCCTTTGCCCAACATCAAGACATAGGGGCTGTTGCTGGAACACACAGCTGTCCCACTGCAATGTCTTGGGGCTTTTATGTATCACTGTTTGGAATGAAAGTTGTCTTTACACATACACCTACACACTTACCAGCATGGCAACTGGAAGGTTGGACAATTAAACAACAAAAATGCAACTTTTACTCTTATCTGGGATTTCTCTTACACACCAGGAGTTTCAGTGGCCAATCTTTGGTTCCTAAAAGATGCTACATTACTCTTTTACAGAATGCTAGCTGCACAAGCTAAGATCTGAGCTATTACTTTGTATTTCACACAGTTATTCCATGATATTAACAAGTTTCCCCTGTTCTTAAGCAGTCTGGCAGCTATCCCAGTATAGCTGCCCCTAGCCCTGTACGCATTTGATAAAGATGAATGCTAGCTGATGTTCAGTACTCACTTTCTGGTTCTTTTAAACATACATTAAATATTTTAGAATATTTTTAAAAAATGCTTGTCAAATAATCAGGCCCCAAGCACAATTCCTTTGGACCTGGTAAAAAATTATAACACAAACTCCTGCACACACATGATCTTATCCCTTATGTGCAATGTCATGGGTCGTGAAAGAAATGTCTATTTTATTTCTAAAATGTCATAAGTAGACCATGGTAATATGTTTGCAGACTGGGCTGGGCCTTCTTGGATACTGGTAAAGCTTACCTCCCATCACACATACTTGGCCCCTTGTGAAGAAATGCATTTTTTCCTGGGAGGTTTGAAAGGAGCAAAGCCTCCACTCTGAATTTTAAAAGTTTTTTTTCCCTCTGGGCAGAGAACAGGCAGGAGGAGGAGGAGGGAAGACAGTGCAATTGCTTTCCAGACTTACCTCAGCCCACCTTCATACAAACGTTAACAGGCCTAGCAGGAGAGATAATAGGTGGATCAAGATCTCCCCCTTCCTCCTGGCAGGGAAAAGAGATTTTGAGGAATGAAGGGACAGAGGGACTCTAGGAAGGAAATGTCCTGCTAGGAAGGAAATGTCCTGGAGATCTCCAGGAAAAGCCTCTTTGACCTGGCCTGACCTGGTCAGGGGGTGCGGAAAAGAGAGATGATTAAAAACTTGCAGCAGGAAGTTTTCCTTGGGTGCTGTGTCCATGAAAGGACAGACCTCTCCACCAGGAAGGCAGCCATTGACCATGTGCTCACCTAAAGAGCTGGAGGAAGCTTCAAGGCAATTGAAACTCTATAGGGATCTGTAACATCCTAAGCAAAAGGGGCCTGTCCTATATTTTAACATCTGATAGTGCATGTATAGAGAGAGGGACAGAGGATTTGCATTTTTCCCATTTATTTTGGTTCCCTTGCTCAATTGGGTGCTGTGCTAAAAATATGATTGTGAACATTTTCCTTTTAATAAATACTTTATAACTTTTGATGCTGGCAGTGTTTCTCTGTACCACATGGACCTCCACTGACTCAGACATGCTATTTTAAAAGGAGGACCAGGGGAAAGGCAGGCAGTTGGCAAGTGACTATTTCTCCAGGCACACCCAAAGCAGTAAACTGCTCCTGTGGAGACCAGGCACTGGGCAGCAGGAGACATGGAGGCAAAGCCTCAGATCTTGGAAGGGAAGCTGGGAGTCCTGACCCTCCTCGTGGGCAATCGCTTACAAAGCTCTGCTGGTGGTGTTGGGCTACCTGAGAGTGAAAGAAAAGCCTCTCCAGGTGTTGAGAAAAAAACCCAGGAGGGCAGGGCGGAATAGGGCCTACAGGCCAAAGCAGGCACGTTCTGCCACAGCCCTACAAACAAAATGCCTTCCTGCAATGATAACTGGGCTCACAGAGTCCATGTGAATTGTCTGGCATCTCATTGTATGGCATGATATTACAGAAGCATTTTGATAATAATCTTAATCATACACTGGTGCATGTTGCTGACATTTGGGTTACTAACTGCGGGGGGGGGGGGATGTCCTGTCTCTTTAATTGAGGCTTAATGAGATGTTATTTACTATGTGATGTTTTCTTCCTTGCCATGAAAGTCTTTGACTACCTATTAAGCCTCTGTTAAAGGGACAAGATTTTTTCCCCCTCCATATTGGGATTCTCAACTTTTATCTGTGATTTCTGTCCAGCTTGTTTGCCATCTGGAAAACCAGTTTCAAAGTAAGTTATCCAAACATAGGACAATAAAAACTCACGCATGGTCACTAAACAATATAGCAAGGGAGCCTCTGAGGATCAAATGGCATATAGTCTCATAAATTCAGTTTAGAGAGACCAGCTGAACCACCTGTTGCCCCGTATGTGGCCAGAGATTAGCCCTGAGACTTGGAAGATTCAGGTGTGCAGCTGTGTTTGGGTTTCCCATAGCGAGACCCTTTCCATTTGCACTGAGAATTTCTTGGAACATCTCAGAAGCACCTTCTTCAGATTAAGTGCAGTTTGTTTTCGCAAAAAGAGGCCTAGATTTGAGTTGGCGTGGCCTCTTTAAATGCAAACAACGGTTCCCAGAGGGAAGCTTATTTATTTTTATCAGTCTCCATGGAAACTTCTTTGCTGGGAGGAAGTTAAAAGAGGGACAACATATGAAGATTAAACACACTCAAATATAATCTGGAGGCAAATACCATAACTCTGTGTGTGTCCTGAGAGCTTGCTTTGCATGTACATATTTGTAGATAACAACACAGTCTAGAATCACTTCCTGTTGAAGCTCTTGCTTAAAAACAAAACTCTGCTGAAGCCCTTTTTGAACCCCATGTGCCTTGTATGTTATTAATTACTGGCTTCTCCTTTAAAATATATTGTAAAACTAACATATTTCATGCTTTGCTGCATTTAAATAATGAAAAAGTGAGAGAAGGTTTTAGTTTTGTTATTTTATAGAACGTATTGTATGTTCACAGCAAAGAGAGCAGCCCTGCTCTGTGGCTGTTAACCTGCAAAAGCCTACATGGGAAAAGCTGCTGGAGTGATCACTGAGGGAATCCTTGCTGATCTGTAGGGTCAAGAAGAGAGCTGGTTACAGGGTTATTGCTTCTGGCATTCTTGCTGCTTCACACATGACACTTTCAAAAAGCCCGTGGACACTGAGGTATGTGAAAACTGAATACTATAGTTTTGTGATGTGTACAGATGTTGGAAAGCTGAAGATTACAGTGGGATTTCAACATACATGCACAATGTAATGTGAGCAATTAACACAAGTAACAATATCATTACACTTGATCAGGACCATTAAATTGCTCATCACAATAGATGACTATTTGCTTTATGCATACAAGGTTTCCTAATGGACGGGGGGGGGGGGAGATGTCCTGTCCCTTTAACAGAGGTTGACTGAGTGGAAATGGGCAGTTTGAGCTTTCCAAAGCCTGGAGCTAAATGACATCACCTGATCATCACTTCATAGCATACTGATATTAGAGGGACCAGTTTAAAAGCTGCCAAACCCTACTGGTTCCTACTAGGTGAGGTCAGGATGATGAAACCCCAGACAAGTCTATTCAGCAGAGAAGCTACTGGGAAAATGCTCTTGGTTCATGGAACATATAGTATGAGCACCTGTAAGTCATCAGTGAAGCTGCCTGCCACTGGTGGCACAACAAAAGTGGTCCTGAGGAGATAATGGGGTCCTCTGATGAGACATGTAATGTGCTCTCTGGGTATAGTTCTCTTTTTGTAGCAGGTACTCCTTTGCATATTAAGCGACACACCCCTAATGTAGCCAAGAAGAGCTCTGTAAGCTCTTGGAGGATTGGCTACATTAGGGGGTGTGGCCTAATATGCAAAGGAGTTCCTGCTACAAAAAGAGCCCTGTCTCAACAAGTTGGATCCCAGGAGCTGGGCACAAATGTCTGTTGCCCAGAATGTTTCCTTTGGAATCCAAATGCATGACTCTCCATCTTTTTGTTACTTCGCCTCACCTCTGTGAATAACAACCTTAGTACATCACGTCAGTGGTCTGTTCCTTCTCCATCTCTCCCTGCTTTGCCACTCTAAATGTCCACACTTGAAGTGGCCGGTGCTGATGACACACAGGACAGAGCTTGATTGCATCTTTGGTTGAAACAAGAGTTGGGTCAAAGTATGGGGGGGCGGAGTGGTGTGAGGAGACCTAGGCTGTGGTCACACATGCTAAATAATCCACTTTCAATCCACTTTCAGTGCACTTTGCAACTGGATTTTTACTGTGTGAACTGGCAAAATCCAGTTGGAAAGTGCACTGAAAGTGGATTGAAAGTGGATCATTTAATGTGTGTGACTGCAGCCCTAGGGTAATTCTGCATCTGGCATTGGCTTCACATTTTCTCAACTGGAAAAGGTGCAACTTTAAACCACATTTAAATAGAAGAAGAGATTGGATTTACACCCCACCCTTCACTACCCAAAGGAGTCTCAGAGTGGCTTACAATCTCCCCTCCCCACAACAAACACCCTGAGAGGTAGGTGGGGCTGAGAGAGCTCTCCCAAGAACTGTCCTTGAGAGAACAGCTCTGAAATAACTTATGACTGACCCAAGGACACACCAGCAGCAGCATGTGGAAGAGTGGGGAATCAAACCCAGTTCTCCCAGATTAGAGTCCGCACTCCTAACCACTACACCAAACTGGCTCTCAATACCCCGGGGCAATGCCGTACTGACTGTAAAGTTACCCCTGAATGGCTGTAAATCTAAGCAGAAGGTACCATAAAACCCGATGAAAAGGGTGAAAGAAAGTGAAAGCGGCATGCAATGCAGAGGGGAATTTCTGTTCCAACATGGGTTTGGTAAAACAATGGAGGGAAAAGCCAATGCAGAATCACCCCTCGCCTGTAACTGAAAAACATGAAGCATGAGGTGCAGTTATGAACAATGTGTGAACATGTTCCTTTAAAAAAGAGGCCTAGTTTTCTGGCCACTGCCCTGCATGTGTTTTAAGAACACCAGAAAGGACAATCAGTATGATATTCTCAGTATGAGAACTGACCTCAGAAGCAGGGTGAGATTTCTTTTGCGATGCAAATCTCTGGAATTAAACATCTGGCCTTGGTTTATTTCTCCACTTCGTCATAGACTCCTTCCTTGGGCAAACAACCTAAAAGGTTAAGGTTTTTATCCTCATGTGTAAAACAGCAGTCTTGTCCTATAAGGCTTCCAGAAAGTGAGCAGGCACAATGTGTGTAGAAATGGAAGTCTGTAGAAAGACTTCTGCCCAATGACCTTAAGTCCTCCAAGCTAAAATATAGCTGGTATGCCTTATGACACTAAGTGCTGAAGATTAAGATCAGCCCTTCCTGATCTGGGGTACTGTCAGTGCTGCTGGGGAGGCAGTGCTGGGATATTTGGAGAATGCAGATGTGGACAGAAGAACATAATGCACCTAAACGAAACTGCTACCCAAGAGTGCCCAGTTTCCAATAGGATGGGGAAAGCCTTGCCTCCTTTGAATTAAGCAACACCTAATGTTCCAAGTCAGCTTAGCGAATAAGATAGGGGTTTTAGGTATTATCATGCAAAGTCTGAATAATGCCTAGATAATGTTCTCTGGTTAGGAGGCATCTAGATAATATCCCTCTGAACAGATACACTGAAAAGGGCTAGGGAGTGACCAAACTGGGAGTGGGAAAGGATCAGGTACTAGGATTTATTTATTTATAATCAAATTTATACCCCACTCCACCCACCCCCGCAAAGCAGGCTCTGTCCTTGGGCATGGAAGGTAAAGATGTCCTGCTCAGTACTCTAAGACTAGGCAGCTAAAGGAAGCCTGATGTACTGGGCACAGAGAAACTCCTTGCCCAGCTGCTGAAGTAAGAGATAGGGGCTGGTAGACAGACTGCAGTGAAGTCAGGAATTATTTCAGGGAATGTGACTGAACAGAGTAGATAGGAACATTGGGCAGGCTTCGGCTAATCAAGGTGGGCAATCACCTTAGGGCTGTGAAGTCACCTTGAAGGTAAAACTGAATCCAGACATCAGGGCAGAGGAAATCTAGGCACTGATAGCAGTGAACAGAGGTCACATATTCAGAATTTAAAATGCTGGAGAAGAATCCCGTGGCTGAGAATAAAACAGGAGCAGAATCAAAATCATTGCATAGGAAGGGCTGGGAGGAGTCACGTTGGTCCCTGAAGATGTTTGTACAGAAGAAGGGCAATTACAGTTTAAGATGAGAATGGAGAGAGGAATTGTGGGTCATGGATAGTCCTAGAGCAAGTGCTATGTTGTTACGTTTGTGAGTGTGTATGACAATGCTGAAAGCTGTGGACGGAGGAGAAAAGAGCAAAGGGTCAGAGGTTGATAAAGAAGGAAAGATCTGTCCAGGTCAGTATTATGGGATTGATGAACCAAGGAGTATTTCAGTATTGCGGTGGGTCCCACAGGACAAAGCATAGGATCAGAAATCGATAATGAGGAAGAAACTGGAAGGATGGAGCAAGGTGAAGTTCTTATAAGAATTTTGTCCATCTGCCTGCAGATTCAGGACTCTGAGCTGGGCTTAATTAGGTATCCACTGAAGGTAACGTATGTATCATATTCATCGCTGAAAACAGCATTATCGCGTTCACCCTTGAAGAGCCGTATCCAGACTTCATCCTGATCCTGCAGATCTAACATGAGACTCTGACTCTGCATGATGCTTCGGTCACTGGCCTGCGCATACAAGATGGCAACTTCAGCCCCATTGCGCATTATGTGCAGGTAGGTTTCCTTCTGGTTCCAAGTGTGCACATTGAGGTTGAAAAAGTACACACCAGGCACATAACAATAGAATTTGCCCATGAACATGTTGAAGTGTCCATAGAGGTTCACAAACTCGGTGTCAAAGATCAGTGTCTGGTAGTAGTCATTGCTGTGCAGGGGTTTCCGACGGCCCACCGAAAAGGCAGCATAGGTGGTCTTGTACCGCTCTCCTGGAGACCCCAAGCTGCCTTTTTGACCTTTGGGGCCCATCTGGCCCTTCAGCCCTGGAGAGCCAACTTTGCCCAACTTTCCTTGGAATCCCCGTTCTCCATGGTCCCCTTTCTCACCTAAATAACAGAGAGGTTGTAAGTGAGCACTGTCTCTACTAATCCTTGGGATCTATACTCAACTCTAGGGAGATATCCCAGCGGATGTTCATAAATTTAATCATTCCAGCTCTTCCTCAGGGGAAATTATTCTAATGAACACAGTATAATCATTCTTTGGATGAATACAGACAATTATTAGGCAAATCCTATGCCCACTCTAGTGGTAAAGAGGATTTTGCCATATATGGCATCCCTACTTCCCTGGGTTTCACAATGAGTGTAGAAACATGGTAAAATTCTCATTATGAAGGCAGGCACCAGAGATGTGTGCCCATCATTGGTTCATTACCACTTGGGAAATGGCCAGCTGTTTTGAACAGGTTTTCATCATAAGCAAATTCCAGGGCAAAATGTCAGAATCTTGAAGGAAGGTTAAAGAGATGCAGTAAGAAGTTTCTGAGGGAAAGGCAATCCCATGCTGTGGTCTCTGGTCTGACTACCCATACTCTCTCATGGGTAGTCTCATACCTATGAGGACACTACATTGGACTTGAGTGTGTGCAGGGCTATTTTTGGGCAGGAACGCACAGGAACGGAGGGCCGGCTGGCTCCCGAGTTGGCCACGCCCAGCAGGAACTCATTAGTATAATAGGCCACACCCAACAGCAGAAACCCATTAGAATTGGCTACATTAGGGGGGTTTGGCCTAACATGCAAAGGAGTTCCTGCTACAAAAAAGCCCTGGGTTTTGACAACAAACAAGGTAAACAGAATAACAAGCAAAAGGTGGGTGTGGCTGGATAACCACACTTCTGGTAACATGGGGGTGTGGCCTAATGTGCTAATGAGCTGTGCTGTCAGGGGTGTGGCCTAATATGCTAATGAGTTCCTGCTGGGCTTTTTCTACAAAAAGAGCCCTGAGCGTGTGGCATCAGGGCTCAAATTCTCCTCAGTTATAAAGTCTACAGGCATCTCAGGACCATGCCTTTCTTTTATTATACTTTAGCTTCAATTTGTCATCTTGACAGACAGTGTGGTGTAGTGGTTAGAATATCTGACTTGGACTTGGGTTCAAATCCAATGACCACCATGAGACAGGTTAGTTTTACCCTGCTGACGATGTGTTATTTTCAGATCCACTGTGTCAGGAAGCTCATTGGGTGAACTTGAGCCAGTCATTCATCCCTGATCTACTTCACAGGGCTGCAGTGAAGAGAAAATGCAGGAGGAGAGCAATGCTCCCTCTAAGCTGTGGAGACTTGTGAGCAAAAGTTCTACTTGGTGAGCTACCAGCATTAACATTGTGAGTGAGCGATTTGGCTACCGCATAAATTAGTTTGCTCCGGAGCCATCCTTCCTGAGCAAAGACAAAAATGTGTGAGCTGGAGGCTAAAAACCTGTGAGTTAGCTCACACTAACTCAGCTTAGAAGGAACACTGGAGGAGCGAGCCATGAGTTTCACACTGATCTCCTTAGAGGAAGAGCAGGATCAAAATGAGATGACAGACATCTGCAAGTAATGCCTTATTTCACGTGGTGGTTGTAAGATGAGGCAAGGATTGTAAAGCAATCTGCACACAGCTATAATGCATGTGCTGTAGACATAATGCCTTCTGGGAACATGCTGCTCTTGGCTCCGCTGGCAGCTTGAAACCTCTTCCTCTTTGAGGGCTAATCTGTTTCCCTGCCACATTAGGATCTTAGATACCACCTTGTAGCTTGTTTTTGTTCTGGGCCATTTCATCAGTGGTATGATGAGCTATTTTTTTCTTTTCTGCTGAGGCTGCCTCAGCATTCTTCCTGGAGAGCTAGGTAAGCTGTACAAGAGCTGTGTCACTGCTTTCAAGAACTCAGCTCTTCCGTTGGTTTGCTAGGGTAAGCCATGTAAGCTTTCAGACATACCCAAATTTTCTGTCTACTTTACTCCTAAAATACAGCAGAACGAATATATCTTAACTGGTTTGCTTTTAATATAGTAAAGGGATGAATGGATCCCAATGTTAATATCTGGTCATTTGTTCTAGTGTCTTTATTATGGGGCAGGGGACCAAGACATTTACTGGGGGGAAAGAGGAGTGAAGGAACCCAACTAGGGCAACTGGTGGGGAATGGAGGGTAGGGTTGCCAGATCCAGGTTGGGAAACATCTGGAAATTTGGAGGGGGAGCCTGGGGAGGACAGGGACCTCAATGGGGGCGCAATGCCACAGAGTCCACCCTCCAAAGCATCCATTTCCTCCAGGGGAACTGATCTCTGTAGTCTGGGGATGAGCTGCGAATCCAGGGGATCCCCAGGTCCCACCTGGAGGGTTGGCATCTCTAAGTTGCAACCACCCCTGTTAATTAATGAGGAGGCATCTAGAGGTTCAGCAATATAAGAGACTGATGTCTCACTTATCTTTCTCATTCTTTGAGCCAAGTCAGGCTTGTCCTAATGCAACTTCTAGACTCCTAGTTTTGGATCATAATTAATTTGGCTGTTTCCCCTGGCCTGTGTAAAGAAGAAGCTTGGAGGAGACTATCGTAACAGCTCATTCAGGCCAGGAAATTTATTTAGCTCACATAATTTCCCCCAAACTGGCCTCTCTGGAATTAGAAGAACTGAAAGGTTTATCCAAAAGGCAGTAACCACACCCTTATGACAAAAGCATGGGAATAAAAAGCCAACTCGTCACGGTTTTCTAGAAACGGACTCCTTTGCTGGTGGCCGCTAAATGCATCTGGTTTTGCTGAGGCCATCAGACCTTTCAGACAATAGGCCAGAAACAGCCACGTGTCCCAAGCACTTAGCCACAACCACAGCATAGCATATAAGGTTGCCAGCCTCCAGGTGGTGGCTGGAGGAGATCTCTTGCTATTACAAGACACCTCCAAGTGACAGAGATCAGTTCCCCTGGAGAAAATGGCCACTTTGGAAGGTGGACTCTGTGGCATTATGCCCCACTGAAGTCCCTCCTCAGGCTCCATGCACACACACCCCAATCTCAATGTATTTCCCAATCCAGAGCTGGCAACCCTAACAGCATGGCATTCAGGGTTGCCAGACTGTAATCCAGAGTTCTACTCTGTACCTCTAAATTACCAGCTCATCAGGAGACAAAGCAGCAGCAACTTCTTTCACTCATTCCTCCACTGGTTCTGTCGTATACCTGGTCGTCTACTGCCTATAAGGCAGGCAGGCAGGCAAGCAGATGGCAGAAAACAGGACCAGGGGAGGAACACATGGGAGAAACCATGGCAGCATAATCTCCTAATACAGGAGATTTGCAAAATGGACCTCTGGGATGACATGTGATGGTTCCTACACTGTTTTAATGATCTGCGAGGACCAGTCTTGGACCAGTGAACAAAGAGTCAGGCACAGCAGTTTTCACAGTCAGTCAGAGGAAGACCCAGTTATGGAATCTTAGAACAGCATTTAGACCCTCTCATTGTAGTCCAAGGCCTCTATCCATAGTTACTCCCCCTTACCTTTCAAGATGGTAATGTTGATCTGAGGCAAAGGTTGATAGTACACAGGATATGATGGAAAGTGCTCCGGAGGATCACAACAGCGTACACACTCAGAGCCTTGGGGCTGCTTGTTGTATTTCTCATAGTCTTTCTCAACCCTGGGAAGGCAGAAACAGCACAGACAGACCAGCAGAAACTGAAATTTTAACCTGCTTTCCTTGGATAATGTGCAATGTTTAGCCCCTGTTTTGTGACCAAAAAGATCATAATTTTCTTAATGTCATCATTTCACAAACCATACACTGAAGGGAGGATTTAAAAAACAGTTGATGAGAATTATGCTAGAATTTAGGTATTGAGATGGAACATAATTCCCACAGTCCCAAGTAAACAATCACTTGCTCCACTTTCTCCCACCCGTGTTTAAGGCAGGGCTGGCCCTTCATTTGGTTGCCTGGGATGTCCGTCCCCCCGCCCCCCCGGCAGTGTCACTTGAAAGCTGTCCAATGAATCACTTCACCTCTCCAACTGGCATCTGCAGAAAGATCCAGATACAGGTGATGCCCCTTCCATGGAATAAGGTTGCCTAGCAATAATAACCACCCAGGTTGGATTTGAATTTGCACCCCAGTAAGCAATAGCAGACTGACCAAGAGAGTCGGATCTGAGAAAGGGAAAGACGAAAGGGGGGAAGCAGCAGCATCCCCCCCCCCAATATTTCACAGATAAACATAGGGGTATGTCTGCTGGAAACCCCTCAGTTTATCAAGGGTGGGGAGACTGGGCCCAAGGGCAGGCAAATGACAAGCCTACAGTTAGGTCTCTTTTTGATGCCTGAACATCCACATGCCTGTGACTGACCTTGCCACAACTCCATACCCAAGCTGTATTTAACTGTGCAAGGGAAGACATTCTATGTGGTGGGGTGGAAATTTAGAAGCAGATCACTAGGAGTAACAGCAGCTGAGATATTATGGAAACAAAGACTGCTCTAAAGCATTTGGGGCACCACCAACTACTGGATTCACTCAGAACAAATCAACATTAGTATGGTGTCAGTCAGCTCATTTAGTGAGAACAATGTGCCCTCCAGCTGTGTCCCTTAAGTAAGTACAGTACCTTCTTATTATGGGTAGCAATCAGTTATTTTAACCAAATTTGTACATGCATTATTTGGACTATTACTGGAACAGTATATATTACAGCCAGCAGATTGGGCAAACTGTCAGTGCTCCATGCCCACTAGCTTTGGCAATGATGGGACGCATGACTTGGGCGATATCTTTCTCAGTGCTTTCCCCCTTGTGTCTTAGCACAGGGCCCCATAATTCCTAAGAAGGTTTCTGTCTGAAATCCTAAACTGGCAGTGGATTTGCAGCTTCCACACTGGAAATGGAGGGAGAGGAACATTCAGAGTGAAGCACCATTTAAAATCTTGTGTGTATATGGAGAGGGAAGGGTTGTGACAGAGTGAAGTGAACTGTGCTAGCACTTTGAAGCCACTTGCGCTCTTAGAACCTAAGCAATCTTCATTGATCTAAAGCAGCGATATTTACTCAGAGGCTTGAGAGCCACCGTTGACTCTTCTGAGCACCATTTCCAGTGCACCACCACCTCCCCATCTTTAGGGAAAGTGAGCAATTTCTTTAGAAATTGGAATGATTTCATTGTTTCTATGGGCCCAAAATAAATCTGTTTTATTTTGAAAATGCCACACAGCTTGTCCATATATACCAAGGCTCTGGAAATGTAGGGATTCTGTATTGGAAACTAGGTCAACATATGCAACTAAATGAGGTGGTAGAACTGGGCATACCTCAATGCTGACACATAAAACCGAACTCTCAGTAACAGGAAAAGACAACCTTACATGCTCAGAGGTACTCTGTCATGAAAAGAGTTATACTGTAGTTCTATATTGTTGTTTTTGCTTGTTTGTGGTGGTGTGCAGGGCATACTATAGTCACATGCCTCTTTTGCTTGGTGAGAATTTTGAATGTGGCTCTCCATGATCTGCAGAGTATCACTGATCTAACATTAGAGAGAAGTAGGGTCATTTATAGATTTGAGGAAGGTGCAACAGAGGCTACTGGATAATCAAAATTGTATATTTTCCCCTACAATTGGAAAGGCAAAAATATCAGGGATATCTCTGCTCCCCAGACCCCCTTTCACATTCCAGTGAATGAACTAGATGAAAATTGGTCGATGGCATGGATTGTGCTTGCTTCCAGGGTCTGGAAGGAAACCTAGAGGAGAGAAGCCCATTGCAGTAAAGATACATTGTGGAATGCTCACTCTCGGTATTATGCCTCTGAAATACCCAGTAAGGCCCCGTTTTGTAGTCATTTACTCCTCCTCCAGAGCCATTATCATCACCCACCAGCCTCTGGCTCCCTTCAAAGTGGGTCAGAGCAATGGAAGGAATTGTGCATTAACTGCACACTGAAGATGCACATTAATGGAGTTAATTGGGCATTGAAGCACAACATGAGGTTACTTCTTTAAAACATGACAGCTGGGGGAGAGAGATTCTGAGTCCAGGTACGCTCCAAATGGCTCATCAGGGCCAGACTGTTAAAGCCCATTACGTGGCTTGGCTTTGAATCATCTTCCACAGCCCAAGGGCCAAAGTCGTTGCTTTTGGGATCTCCTGTCACATGACAACATCACTGTCACAACCTACCTGGCAGTGTGATGCTGATGTGGTGCTTGGGTCGGTGTTCCAGTCCTCTCTTCTGGCTCACTCTCACTGCAATAAGCCCAGGAGAGCAGGCAGATGAGCAAAAGGACGCTTGGTGCTGGACATCCCTTCATTGTGCTGGACCCTGCCAGAGAGGGGAGAGTCAGGCAAGGAGAAGTGCTGACGGGGGACAGAAGAGATCTTGCTAAAGCTGTACAAGAACCTGGGAGCTGGTCACGGAGGAGAAAGAGCAACGCTGTGTAGCCCTCCAGGGAGGCTTTGAGGAGGCTGAATGTCCCATTTGAGTTCTCCATGGCCGGCAGGATTTCCACCAGTCTGCTGGGAGCCTGGGGTCAAGAAGTAGGTCATCCCTCCCTTCCTGCCAAACACTTGACCAGAATACAGAACGGACATCAGAGTCTTTCAAAGCAACAACATTCAGAACAAGGCAATGCTGGGGTATTTGCCACCTGCACTACACTGCCAGGTTGCAATGGTGATCCACCAGGATTTGTCACAATCAGAGGTCATTTCGGGGGGGGAACGCGGGGGAACCGGGTGAGGTACTGGGGGGCGGGGCACATGACAAAGCCCTGCCCCCCGCTTCCGGCCAAGGGAGGGTAAGTTGCTTCCTCCCTGCCTCTCCCCACCCCTACCTGCCTGGGGCCAGGGAGGGCCTTCGCAGGGCTTCCTTGCACTCCCGCTGGCCTTGCAGGTCCACCGCCAGGCCCCTCATGGGGCTCGGCAGTGGAGCTGCAAGGCCGGTGGTGGCGGCCGGGACCGTTGGGGGCGGGGTGTGTGGCCTTATGACACATTTCCGGTGATGTCAGGGGGTGTGGCCTTATGACACACTTCCGGTGATGTCAGGGGGTGTGGCATATGCTAATGAGTTATGCTAATGAGTTCCCCTAGCTCTTTTTCTACAAAATGACCCCTGGTCACAATACAGGATAAAGGGAAGACACAGATCTCCAAAAACACAGTGGACATACATCAGGGAGATGTGGTCAGTTTTTCTGGTCCCCAAATACACTCCTCTCTCCACACTCTGGTATCACGGCAAATGAGTGTGGAACACAGGCAGATCCAGACTGCTGTATAAAGTCCAGTTTCTGAGGCAGCTCAAAATTGATTGTTGGTACACAGAAGTTCGTAAAAGGGGCAAGCGACTAGTAACTATGATTCCATGTTTCCTTCCACATTTGCATTGTGCCTGTTCTCTACACAAGCCAGTTTCTTTCTCACACTTTTGTAAAGCTGAATCTTGGGCTGAAGATTTTCAGCGGAGGAATGTAAGTCTTCAGCTTCATCACCTCCCAGCCACTTGGCAATTTTGTTATGATCAGCAAAGGTGGAGTTATACTTTCAGCACAGACACAGTCTGGCTGTTTCTTCTGCACTGGTATGGGAGGCAAGAAAGCTATTTGCAAGGGAGGGTGTTGCTTAAACGCCTTCTCCTTCTCACCCTTGCATAGCCCCAACTCACACTGGGGATCCCAGGCAGGAGTGAGGAAGGATTAAGAACACTCTTCCAGGGCTCTTTTTGTAGAAAAAGCCCAGCAGGAACTCATTAGCATATTAGACCACACCCCTGACAGCACAGCACATTAGCATATTAGGCCACACCCCCATGTTACCAGAAGTGTGGTCATCCAGCCACACCCACCTTTAGCTTCTTATTCTGTTTACCTTGTTTGTTGTCAAAACCCAGGGCCTTTTTTGTAGCAGGAACTCCTTTGCATGTTAGGCCACACACCCCTAATGTAGCCAATCCTAATGAGTTCCTGCTGTTGGGTGTGGCCTATTATGCTAATGAGTTCCTTCTGGGCGTGGCCAACTCGGGAGCCAGCCAGAACTCCGCTCCTGTGCGTTCCTGCCCAAAAATAGCCCTGACCCTTGCTCATCGCAATCTGCTTTCTAATCACCCATGGAAAAGTAACTGCAAGGATTTCTAGACCTGTGTATGCCAATGAGAGCATAGATTCATTCTTAACAGAATGAGAAGGTCCAGAGAAAAGCAAAGTAGACCTGTTTTTCTTATACGTTATTTTTGTCTCAGTGGTAATTGCTGAAGAGGGTAGCTGTGAAACTGGGAATCAGGGAGGCGGGGGGGGGGGCTGCCCCTGCAACACTACACTGAGGCTGTGATTCAGTTCCATATAATTACCTTTCAGCTGCCAGCAATGTGCATGGTAGAGTAGCAGTCCGATGAATCCATTCCTGTGACAGAATGCATGCACATGTGCAGAGTTTTCCCCACCCTTGCCCTATAATAAGGCAAGGCAGTACAGTGCCAAACAAAACTGGGCAATTCTCCTAAAATCTGTGTGGTTATGTAGCCTCTGGAGAGGTAACATTTCTCAGGGACTTAACTGAGTCAAAATCCAGAACAAGGAGAATTTCATGGAAGTATCACTGGCAGAAGAGGATGAGACAGCATATGGACCAAAGGGCACAACTATGCCCCGGGTACAAGCAGGAGCCACACTTACAAAGACACATTTGCATACCCCACACCCAAAGCTCGTGTACATTCAGAGTAAGCTACTGCTGTACTGTACATGGATGTATGTGCATTTGCGTACTGTGTGAGGACCGTGGGTATGTTTCATCTCACTACTTAAATTACTTCCTCCAAGGATCTCTGGGAATTGTAGTTTTTTGAGGATGACAGCACCTTTTGCAGAAAGCTACAGTTCTAATGTTAGGGAGAAGCCATGACAGTTAATCTGGTTTAAAGTTTTAGTGTAGAAGGACTGTGCACTGGAAGCAACATTCACACTCTCAACATTAATTGAGCTCACACGAAACTTGCATACACTTACTGTACAGTGAATGATACCTTATACATTCTGCTGTGCATTGCACATATACCGCCCTCCTAGGGTTGCCTGGTCTCCCCCCCCCCGGGCCCCTGGCAGAGGGGTAGGGTTGCCAGCTCTAGGTTGGGAAATTCCTAGATATTTGGGGGTGGAGCCTGGGGAGGTACAATGCTGTTGAGTCTGCTCTCCAGAGCATTAGTTTTCTCCAGGGGAATGGATCTCTGTAGTCTGGAGATGAGCTATAATTCCAGGAGATTCCCAGGCCCCACTTGGAGGCTGGTATCCCTCCTCCCTCTCCATGTACTTGTTGCATAACATACAAACATATGCTGCATTACCCACTCAACACACGAATTTAATGCACATGGCTCCTTCCCATATGTGTCATACACTGGCATACATTAGTGTACAGATGTACAAAGGTAGGCATAGTTTGCATGTATCGATATGTGAAAATGTCAGCAGTGGGGAAAATTAGGAAATCAAGTATCCCACACAATTGAGGGGGGAGGGGATCTAGTCTCAAAAGCCTGTGAATATATGTTTGAAAACATTCTGGCCATAAAGCCTTTTCAACATATGCCATATATTGATGGGAACCTCACATAGAAGAAGAAACATGCTTCTTGGGGCTGCCCCACAACTATGGAATTGCCTTCCATTGGAGACTCACCGAGACCTGAGCATAAGCATTTTCAAAAGGGCTGTCCAGCCATTTTGTGTGGGAAGACTTTGTACAGATAGTGTTAAACTGGTATGCAATATTTTTAATTTATCCACATTTAGAAGGGGGTTTGATCAATTTTAATTGCTATTTTTAAAGCACTGTTCTTTGGGGTTGAGAAGGACAAGTAATTAAGTAGATTCATTATCACACTTTTATGTTATTAATAATTCGTAAAAAGTCCACTATGCAGTCTAGAAAAATTAAGATCACTAAGATGCTCCCTGCCAGCTCAAAACTAATTGAGCCCACACAACATGAACAACACAATAAATGGGGCAAGCTTCTTTCCACAAAGAGGCTCATAACTCTTCAAGGATACTAGCAGGGACTGGACACACAAATATGAACTACCATAGGAGATGAAAACATGGGCACATGCAGCAATATATACTCAGAGAGACTGCATTTGTTTTTTCCGGTTCATGCTGGCCACTCTCCATCTCTGCGGGGCCTGATACAGCAGCCTTTAATGCCTGGGAATATAAAGTCCCCACATCCTGGGGGGAAATCACTCCACATTAGAAAGCCAAATGTGCAGAAATCCATTTCAGTCACACAGCAAAAAGAAAAAGGACATTGGGGTGATGTGGAGACAAGGTACCAGAATTCCTATGCTCACCTCAGCTCTCTTGGGTGTGTGGTGAGGAGCACAAGGAAGCCATTCCTGGATTGGCCCATCAGCCAGCCCTTGATTGTTCATAGCCTGGTGCTATGGTTTGTCAGAACTGCTAGTGACAAGCGTCCCAGCAAATTGGGTGTGGGAGTCTCTGTTCCTCTTTCCTCTTTCCCATGCCTGGGTAATGGTGCACCAGTAGCTTGCCTCATACTACTTGCCTGGTGATACTTCCTCAAGAGCACAGGGCTTTAGCAGTGGCAGAGGGAGCTGAGGATGGGGCTTGCCTGTCGCAGAAAGAAGTCTTGCCACACTCTATTGGATCCATTTGCATGATGATGTATAGGCCAGTGCCAAGCGGGACTGGATAAGTAATCTTCCCTGTTACAGTAATGGGAAGATACCACATGGGGAAGATTCTGTCTCATCGTCCAAAGCATTAAACATACCAACAGTCTGAGTCCTCGCTGTGCCTCTGGGTAAAGCACCCTTGTACAAGATCCCAGGCAGCCTTGGATTGCTACGCCCCTGACACCCACTCCCCCTGCCATGTGTAATTCCACACAGATACGAGCACCTGGCTCCAGAACTCTACCCAGCTGGCTGGCACCTACCTTTGGGGCAGGATTACAAGCTGGCAGAGCCACTGCTTGTCTTTGCCTTTAATCTTCTAGAGCATCCCCTTCTGAGGAAACACTTCCAACCCCTTGTAGGGAAGATCAGAGCAGGCAGTTCTGCTTCTAGCCTTCAGATCTCAGGTTTAAGCAGAAAGGCGCTTAGTGGAAAATCCAGAGAGAAAGAGAGAGGGAAAGAAAGGGGCAGCCTCTGCAAGCCGGCCCTCCTCCCTTGGATGGGAACACAGCTGCCGTTAACCATATGTATGCCCAGCACCCACAGCTGAGACAGAGAAGGCAGGTTGCTTCTGCCAAAAAATGTCTCCAGATGTTGGAGTCTAGAGCCAAGAATGGAGGGAGGGAAGGAGGGAGGGAGGGAAATGACAGCACTGCCCACAGCAATGGAGATCAGATTGGCAACAAAGAGGCGGCTCTGAAGCAGCCTGTATCAGGCTGGCACAGAAACTCATTGCCGGTTTCCCTCTGATTTCTCAGGGATTGTCCCTTTGTATGCAGCCTCCGCCCACAATGCAGACATGTCTCCCAAGCAATAGAAAGACCTAGAGACTGTGCTCCCCTCCTACTGCAGACCAATTCAGACTTCTGCCAGAGCGCAAAGGGATCACACTATGAAGTGTGTGTGAAAATCTGGAATTGTTAGCAGTTGGCGTGAGGTGAGGTGGAATGTGAATTAACAAATAAGTCAGTGTTTAAAGGGCCCTCCAGTTGGTTGGTGGGCCACATGGTCCCCACCGATCAGCTGAAGCCCTTTAAATTGGGCAGGAGGGGAGAAAGGGGGGTGGCTGGGTGGGTGGTCACTCTTGGGGGCAGGGCTTCCCCCACTGGCCAGCTGGCCAGGGGCAGATTGAAGTCCCCAGAAGCAGGGAGCCCCCGCCCAGATCTGGGGCTGGCAACTCTAGGTGTCCCTGAGTTCTAGTATTATGGGAGAGTAAGAAAAAGCTTCCTCTATCCACTGTCTCCATAATCTTATAAACTTCTGCCATGAGCCTTTTTTTTCTAGACTGAAAAGTCTCAGGCTCTAGGAAGGGTATTCTAACTCCTTAATACTCTTGGGTGCCATCCTTTATATTTTTGCCAGCTCTGAAATATGGTAACCTGAACTGCACACAGTATTCCAAATGAGGCCACACCATAGCTTTATACAAGGGCATTACAATATTGGCTGTTTTATTTTCAATCCCTTTCCTAATAATTCCTTGCGTGGAGTTTGCCTTTTTTATTGCTGCCACACATTGTGTCAGCATCTTCATTGGGCTTTCCATAGCGCCAGGGGTCTTGTTGTAGAAAAAGAGCTGCCGGAGCTCATTAGCATAACTCATTAGCATAACTTATTTGCATATGCCACGCCCCCTGACATCACCGGAAGTGACAGAAGGCCACACCCCCTGACATCACCGGAAGTGTGTCAGAAGGCCCGGCTACTTACCCTCCTGCTTCATCCTCATTCCCAAACGGAATGAGGATCGAAGCAGAGGGCGGGGTAAAGAAGGGGGCGGGGCTTCACCACGTGACCGCCCCGCCCCCTAGAGGTTCTCTTCCGGAGCTCCGTACCTGAGAGCTCCCCCCCGACTAGAGCCCTGCATAGCGCCAAGATCTCTTTCAAACTCAGTCTCAGCCAGGATTTTTACCCATGTTGAACTTCATTTGCCTCATGGCTGTTTACTCACCCAATTTAGAGAGATTCTCCTTTAGCTCTCCACCTTAATTATTACTTCTACACTGCTTAGCCCCAATTTCAAGTCATTTATGAACAAATTAAACAGGCATTAGTCCAAAAACCAATAATTCTCACAATCTCCATTGTAAGAACTGGACCTTTATTCCTGCTCTGTTTCCTGCCATTTAACAGAATTTTAATCCATGAGAGGACCAGTCCTCTTACCCTACTATTGCTAAGCTTACCCAGGAGTCTTTGGTGAGGTACCATGTCAAAATCCTTCTGGATGTCCAAGTATATGATGTCTACTGGATTGTCCTTATCCACATACTTCTTAACTTGCTCAAAGAGTTTGGTGAGGCAAGGCTTCCCTTTGCAAAAGCCAGGCTGATTTTCCCTCAGCAAACTTTGTTCTTCAATGCGCTTAATAATTCTTTTTAATAAGAGTTTCTACTAATTTACCTGGAGCAGATGTTAGGCTAACTGGCCTGTAATTTCCTGGATCCCCTCTTGTTGCAGGCAATGGCTAGAAAGATTCTCTAATGGCTGCCACCAGTGCTCCCTCTAAGCTGAGTTAGTGTGAGCTAGCTCACAGTTTTCTAGCCGACAGCTCACACATGCTCGAAAGCCAGTCGAATCCGACACTAGGGTTGCGGTGCTCATCTCCGTTTCAAAGCCGAAGAGCCAGCGCTGTCCAAAGACATTTCTGTGGTCATGTGGCCGGCATGACTAAACACCAAGGCGCACGGAATGCTGTTACCTTCCCACTGAAGTGGTACCTATTTATCTACTTGCAATTTCTTCCTTTCGAACTGCTAGGTTGGCAGGAGCTGGAACTAGAGACAGGAGCTCACTCCGTCATGCGGCACACTCGGGTCTCAAACTACTGAACTACCAACCTTCCATAGCCTGCAGTTCAGCGTCTTAATCACTTGAGCCACCGCAGCAAAACCATCATTCTATACAAGCTGTCTGACTGTTCTGGAGAACTATGGAAGTGAACAAAACAGAGTATTGAGCTTGAATACAGAAAATCCAGGCTCAACCTATTTGTCTGAAGCTCATGGTGCCTGCCACTATTTCCTACCCATATCAAAGAGTTGTTATGAGGCTTTGAGCACATTGGAAGAAGGGGGGGGGATATACGTGTCAGAAATAATAAAACAATTGTACCAATTATATTATGTGTTTTTCAGCAAAGGAGAGTGAAGTGATTTTTGTCACTACTTCTGTTGAGGGAGTGAATGTTGTGGCACCTAATACCTTTCGATGCCTGTGTCCACATGGACAGATAACCAGTGGTGGATTATACTTGACAAGAAGGGAAAAAAACTTCCTACCAGTTGCTGTAGCCATAGGTAACTGCTGCTGGACACTGCTTACCACGCACCCATCCACTAACTACTTGTGGATGAATAACCCAAAATTAATCAGTGAAAATTCATAAACACAAAAAACAGTGCTTTGACTGAAAAGAGTGCAGCTGCCTCTCCATCCCTTTCCCAGAGGCACCAGAGGATACATTACTGCAAGGTTCCATTAACACTGTGGCGTGGCAGTGATCTCTATTTACCTTCAGTTCAAATTAATTCTCTAGTTTCCTAACCAGGCAGCCTTTGGAGGTATGTAGGCAAAGTAAACATAATGTACAAAAGGACTTGTGTAGAACAAGGAGCACAAATGCGGCAGAAGAGGAGACCCACAGCCTTGCCGGAACACAAAAAAGATCCTTCAGTTAACTTTGTACTGAATCTTGATTTGTTTCCTTCGTTATCTTATGTGGAAAATTCACATTCATATTTGAACATTTCGCCTGCTTAGACCCGAATTCCTTTGCCACTTCCTTACTGCCCTCCTTCCTGGCATATCAAGGCTTCCAAGTTGAAGAAAACAAGCTCTTTCTTAGCAGCTGCATTGTGATAGTGTGGGGTTGAAGGTGACTCTGGGTATATCAGTAGGTTTGTTATCACTGAGAATTGGCTTCATTATACTATGTGCTATTTGTTTGGGAAAATCTTTTTTATTCTGAGCCAGAACAGATTTCACAATCCTGTGACCCTACTCTACTAGACACAAGATTCCATTCCCAGAATTAGCAAAAAAACACAAAATACCATAATATCGTATCTGTAACATTCAGAAGAAGGAAGGAAGAGGTCTTCTTGCAACAGAGCACATCTGTGCTACCCAGAAGGCTGGAGACAAATGCTCTTTCCCCCACCAACTTTTATTGCATAACTGCACATTTTGTGGTTTATTGTAGTTCTCTTTAAACCAAATGTTGCCCGGGTCAGACTGGTGTGGTCTAGTGGTTAGAGTGTCAAACTAGGACCTGGGACATCTGGGTTCAAATCCCCACATTACCACAGAAGCTCATCAGGTGACCTTTTGCTCCTGCCAAATACCTCAGTTTTCAATGAGTCACAGCCAAGATTTCTTCTAGCAGTAAATAGCCAGTAAATATCTCTAATTTAATTTTACATATTTTGTCCATGTTTTGACCTGATATTGACTTAAACAAATAACTATCATTAGCAATATCATTTCCCACCCTTTTGTTTTTATTTTTGGCAGTCTCATTTGATGTTAATAAAATGCAAATTTGCATATTTTTCAATAAAAACATGTGTGCAATATTTGTTCATATCTTGCAGCTCTCAAACATCTGACGTTTATTCTATGTTGCTCTTACATTAAACAAACGTCTACCCTTCACCCAGGGCAAAAACATCCTGGATCCAATAGAGGCAGCCCTGCATGCTTCCCAGACAGATTTCAAATTACAGGCAAACTATGGAAGCTAGATCCCCAGGAAGGGACTGGACTAGGTAAAAGAAGAGAAGAGAAGAAGAAGAGATTGGATTTATACCCCACCCTTCACTCGGAGTCTCAGAGAGGCTTTCTTTCCCCTTCCCCTCCTTAAGACATACAGTTGAGTTTTCTTCAGCTTCAGTCCACAGCTCCATATCCTAAACTGCACATTCTGATTGGCTACTTTGAACAGAGAGCCAATCAAAGCTTAGGGATGGTTTTGGAGGGAGCAACAACTATTGGTCGTTATCTATAAGTTATGATTGGAGTTTAACGGGAGAAGACAATCAATGCCCTGCCGATCCTGAGGCAACACAGCCCCGCAGGATGGAAACCAGTACCAAGTTCGATCCATTCAAGCCACAGCTGGAAGACTACATAACTTGGTTTGAGTTCAATCTGTGTGCCAACAAGATCGAGGATGAAGCAACGCAGATGGCGACACTCCTCAGTTTTTGCGGAAGGACCATTTTCGATGTGGCCCGGTCCCTCATGCACCAGAGGACATATTGACAGTCTCCATGATGAGAATCGAGGAGAAACTCCAAAACCACTTCTCACCCAAGCCCTCACAGATTGCCTGCCGACAAGCCTTTTACAAACGCGACCAGGCTGCGGGCGAGATGAACACTGATTACGTCACGGCACTACAGAAGGCTGCCAGGACATGCAATTTCCCAG